AGAGGAGAATGGAGGAGAAGGGATTCCGGCATGGCCATCTCCCCTGGGGGGTGATTTCTCGCTTTCTGTCTCTCTGTCTCTCTCTGTCTGTCTGGCGAGCGCACGCACGTGCCCTATAGCTAAAACCTCTCCAAAAAAAGAAAAATATATATTTTTTATTTAATTTTATTCATTGTCATTGTTTCTTTTTGTTGTTTGTTTGTTTGTTTGTTTTGGAAGTTGGCCAGAAAGAGACAGAGAGAAGGAAAATGAGAAAGCAACTTTCCAGGTCCAGGATTTGAACCGTGATCATCCATGTGGGAGTCCAGTCGCCTTAATCAACATGCCACCTGCCAGCCCCTAGAAATTTCTTTTTTAAAAATCATAAAAATAGGAGCCAACAGGTGGCATAGTGGTTAAAGCCCTGGGTTCCCAAATGGCTTTGCTGTGGTTCAAGTCCCAGACCTGGTGGCTTGAAAATCATGTCGGGCATATATGGGTGCAGGCCCCAAATCCGAGGAGGATACTGGAAGAGAAGGGATTGTGACGTGGCCATTTCCCCGCGGGGTGATTTCTCACTTTTCCTCTCTCTATCTTTCTCTGTCTCTCTGGTGAGGAGGGCATATGCCCTATGGCAAAAGCCTACAAGAAAAAAATCAGAAAAAGAGAGAAAACTGACAGAGTTCAAAGTTAAAATCAATAAAATGAGAACACCACTAGAAACACTGACCTAAAAGAAAGAAAACATAAATCTCCATTATCGAGGAATGGAAAAGAGAACGGCATTACAGACCTAATAGAAACTGTAAGGAGAGGATATTATAAACAAATTACAGCAACAATTTGATAATTTGGATAAGCTAAAGTAAATATGACAAATGTCACCAGATGTTTTTAGTGTTATTAGGTCTCTGTAGTTATTTTCCATAGGTTTTAATTGTTTCCAAAATCGTTTAAACACCTATTAATTTTTTAAATGTATTTAGTTATCTATTTATTTGTGCTTTTTGGGCTGCCAGGTCTAGGACTTGAACTGTAGTTGGGCATGTGGGAGTCCAGCACAATCAACCACCATGCCATCTGCTGGCCCCATATTTCTGATTTTTAAAACTTCTGTAGAGCAAGCTATAGAACACAATATATGAGATTCTTCTCTTTGGGTTAACATGATATATTCCCGTATATATGCATAGACTATTTCTGGAAGGATAGAGAAGAAACTGGTAAAGATGCCTGTCCCTGCAAACGCTGGATCAGAGGAAGACTTTTAGGCTGATTTGACTTGTTTACTATGTGCACTTATTACTTTTTATATCAAAAGGTTAGTTAGTAAAAAATGATAAAACCCAAGGTCTTAGATCTGCCCTCCCCGCTCTGCAGCACAGAGCCAAGGTCTTGCGTTGCCTCCCAGGGCTCCTGCCCCTCACCCTCTCCCATCTAACCTTCCTTGTGGAACTCAGTCCCAGGTCCGCAGAAACTAGAGATCCAGGTTGAAGGTGAGGAGCAGCTGATGAGGGAGGACAGCAGGAGGAAAGGAGCAGACTAAGAACTGGTGGCTGGGAATGAGGAACCCAGGTCCAAAGTCCCAAATTCAAGGCGGAGGTACAGGCTGAAATAACCGACCTAGAGAAAATGGATCGCTGCTCAATGGCCTGAGGCTGGCCCGCATGACAGAGAGAGACGGTGAGAGGGAAAGCGAGAAATCACCCCCAGGAGGGGTGGCCACACCACAGTCCCTTCTCCTCCATTCTCCTCCCGGGATCTTGGGCACGCACTCACGTGTACCTGGCATGATTTTGAAGCCGCCGGGTCCAGGACCCAAGCTGTGGTCGGCCATGTGGGAGTCCAACAACCTAACCACTACACCATCTGCTGGTCCCTGTTCTTTGTCACTTTCTATTCCTAAGATATCAGTACTCCTAAGATCAGAATTCAGGCAAATATTTCAGGATTATTAGTACTTAGTATTATTGATTTTTCATGCTAGTCCCCATTTCTAACATCAAGTCTCATTTTCCACATAAATCACCTAGTGGAATTTAATATTCTGCATCTAAACTATGACTCCCACATTTTCTTTCACATGCAATTGTAGAGATAAAAATAATAACTTCCGTTATTTGATTCTGAAAATACGGTTGTTGAAACTGTTTGGTTTTATCACAGAGATCTTTGTAGATTGGACTGAACTGAACATTTAACCACTGTTTGTAGGTCATTCCAAGATCTAAGCAACTTACTTTAAAATGGACAAAAGTGGGCCAGCAGGTGGCATGATCTTTGGGTACTGGACTCCCACATGGCCCATCATGGTTCAAGTCCTGGACTCGGCAGCTTTCTCTTTTTCCCTCTTAATCTCTCTGGTGAGCTCATGTGCCCTATGACAAGATAAAAATTAATAATAATAAATAAAATTTAAAATAAATACAAAGGACAAACGCTGGAAATTCCTAATGTGAATTCAACCTCACTCCCAAAATGAGGGCTTTCAATTCAGTTTGTGTAAGCCTTAATATAAAATTTTAAAAAATATTTTCAAGAGCTAATTTTCTGGGTTTCCTTACTTTGTTTAACTGAAAGAAAAAACTTCATTTTTTTAAAATCTCAGGAAAAAAAATATTTGAACTTCAGAAACAAATGAACTAGGGACACAAACAGACAAATTACAGAAGAAATATAAACTGCAATTAAACACGACAGGATGTTCAACTTACTAGTTACCAGGAAAATGCTAATCAAACATGACACTATTTTTACCATTTGGGCAAGATAAAAAGAGTAGTGATGTCTAATTAATGGTGACAAAGGTGTAAGAAAACACATATCTGTCGGAAGGTATATAATTAATACAAAGGTTTTCAGAAAGCAAATTCAGAGGATAGTGAAAGGACTGGTATTAGTAAGTTTTGAATAACTCACAATTGAAATACTGTGATATCAAAATTAATGAAGTCTCATTTTAGGCACAAGTGTTAAAATAATGTATACCAACCAATTTAAAATTCTGTCAAAAATTGTATAGTTATAAAATTAGCATATTTCTTTTTTTTTTCCTTTTGAGAGATTTTTGCTATAGGGCATATGTGTTCACAGGAGAGACAAGAGAAGGACAAAAAGCGAGAAATCACCCCCTGGGGGATGGCCACACCACAATCCTTTCTCCTGAATTCTCCTCTTGGGATTTTGGGCATGTGCGCACACTGCCCGGAGTGGTCCGGGACTCAAACTGCATCGAGTTCAGCATCTTAACCACTATGCCACCTGCTGGCCCCCAAGTTGGCGTCATTCTAAAGGTCGAATTCATCGTGATGGTATTTGTACTCTCTCCATGGCAGTGCCACTAGAGCTGGCTAATAGAAATGAATGTCTCATGTCAAGTTAGCCTTCAGTGCTGCATGATTTCCAAGAGTTCACGCCTCAATTAAGGTCTTCCAAAATGTGTAACCCACATCTCTTTGGACATAGCAATTCCACTCGTAGGGATCTATGCTGCCGGCATTTTCACGTGAGTATACAGATACGTACATCCCAGCGTAGACCCGAAAACTTGGTACATCCGAAAACATGGAAACAATCTGAAAATGCCCATCTATTGAGGATCGTAAATTTAGACAATAGATCAGCACATGGTCTTGGAAAAGCACAGGGTGCGTCTTTATGTATACTAACAGAAAATGATCATAATATAGTAAGTACAAAAATAAGTGAAACAGGGACCAGCAAATGGAGCAATGTTACTTCACTAAACTCCCACATGGCCGACTGTGCATGGTTTGAGTCCTCGACCCAGAGGCTTGAAATTCACGCTGGCCCCGAATCCTGAGAAGAGAATGGAGGAGAAGGGATTGTGGCGTGCCCATCCCCCTGGGGGGTGATTTCTTACATCCCCTCTCTTTGGCGAGTGCACACGCCCTATAGCAAAAATCTCTCTTAAAAAAGTGAAAGAGCTAAAGATAAAATTTGATTCTATGTTTGTAAACACATACACATACATACACGCACAGACACAATCCAAGAAAGAATTCAAGTGCAAATGAAACTCTTTTTTTAAGAATTATTTTATTTAACTTTCTTTCTTTCTCTCTCTCTCTCTCTCTCTCTCTCTCTCTCCCTCTCTTTCTTTCTTTTAATTTGACCAGAGACGGATAGAGAGAAAGAGAGAGAAAATGAGAAAGCAAGCCACCAGGTCCAGGACTCGAACCATGGTTATCCATGTGGGAGTCCAGTGCCCTTAACCACCATGCCACCTGCCGGCCTCCCTTTTTTTTTAAACAAAGAATTATTTTATTTAACTTTATTTATTTAGTTAGCTTTTTTTTTTTTAATTTGACTACAGAGGGACAGAGAGAAAGACAGAGAGAGAAAGGCAAATGAAACTATTTATAGTAACTATCTCAGAGGAACAGAACTCAGAGAAAGAGAATTTTCACTCTTTAAATTTTAAAAACTGGGGGCCAGCAGGTGGTGTGGTAGGTAAGGTGCTAGACACTCCCACATGGCTGATCATGGTTTGAGTCCCGGAACTGGTGGGCTTTTTTTAACCCTCTCTCTCTCTGTGTCTCTCTCTGGTCAAATTAAAATAAACAAGTGAATAAATAAAATTAAATAAATTATTTTTAAAAAGTTAAAAACTGTAATAGCTAGAGTCAATTGAGTAGTTAAGTATTGGACCAATTATTTTTAGTAGTATTATTTAATTTTATTCACTATCATTATTTTCTTTATTTTGACCAGGGAGAGACAGAGAGAGACAGAAAGAGAAAGTGAGAAAGCAAGTCTCCAGATCCAGTACTTAAACCTCAGGCAGCCATATTGGAATCCAGCACCCTAATCATCACGTCACCCACTGGCCCAGCCAGATAAACTCTAAGCCCTTCATTCAAGTAATCCTCATAAGGATCCTATGAGGTTGGTACTGTTGTTATTTCCATTATTAATAACTGAGGAAAATGAGATCCAAAGAGGTTAATTTGCCTACTCTCACATATCAGTAGGTTTGGGGGCCAGGATTTGGACCATGGAGGTGTGTATTAAGTAACACTCTGACTACCATCCTAACAGTTCTCTACACTGTGTAGTGCATGAAGGATAATTTTGTATTTTCAAAATGCAAATCCAGGGACCAGCAGTTGGCGTAATGGCTATGTCGCTGCACTCCCACGTAGTTGACTGCAGTTTCAAGTCCCGGACCTGGTGGCTTAAACTCATGCCGGGCATGTGTGCGTGCATGCTCAAGATCCTAAGAGGAGAATGGAGGAGAAGGGATTGTGGCGTGGTCATCACCCCTGGGGAATGATTTCTCACTTTCTGTCTCTGTCTTTCGGGTGAGCCCCCGTGCCCTACAGCGAAAACCCCTCCAAAAAAAAAAAAAAAATTGCAAATCCAGGGCCCAGCAGGTGGCGTAGTGGTTAAGGGTGCTGGACTCCCGTATGGTCGACTGTGGTTTGAGTCCTGGGTCTGGCGGCTTGCTTTCTCCCTTTTCCTCTCTCTTTCTCACTCTGTTCCTCTCTGGTCAAATTTAAATAAACAAACAAACAAATAAAGTTAAAATAGTTCTTTAAAAAAAGAAAAGAAAAGAAAAATATGTAAATCCAGGGGCCAGCAGGTGGCACAGTGGTTAAGGTTAAGGTGCTGGACTCCCACATGGTCCATGGTTCAAGTCTCAGACCTGGCAGCTTGCTTTCTCACTTTCCCATTCTCTCTCTCTCTCTGTCTGGTCAAAGTAAATAATAATAATGACGATTTTACTTATTATTATTTTTTAAGAGAGATTTTTGCTATAGGGCACATGTGCTCACCAGAGAGACAGAAAGGACCCCCTCAAGGAGGGTGGCCATATCACACACAATCCCTTCTCCTCCATTCTCCTCTCGGGATTTGGGGGACACATTCACATGTGCCTGGCATGAGTTTCAAGCCAACAGGTCCAGGACTCAGACCACAGTCAACTACGTGAAAGTCCAGCAACATAACCATTATGCCATCTGCTAGTCCCTACTTACTGTTATTTCATAATTTGACTAGAGAAAAACAGAAAGAGAAAGAGAGTGGTAGAAAAAGAGAGTTTCGAGAAAGCAAGCCTCTAGGTCTGGGACTCGAACCATGGTCAGCCAAGTGGGAACCTGGTGCCTTAACCATCACACCACCTGCCACTCCCTGACTCTTAAAACACTTTAAGATCTTTTCCTGAAAGAAATTTCAGTATGTCTTAACAATTTTCTGTTTTTTAATAATCCAATGTTCTATGATATTTATATAATTACATACCAATATTTCAAATGATAATATATTTGAAACTTTTCTGAAAAAAAGTATTACTAATTAAAGCTCAAGAGCAATAAATTCATAATATACTCTCTTGCTTACCTTGAAGGTGTGAATTCTCTAGGAAGTCTTCATGACTTTCTTTTGCTTCTCCAGGTTTTGTAGATCGATATTCACTCCTCAGAGAAATCTTCCACCATCTAAAAATGACCTGTAATTGAATACAAGATGATACAAATTAAAACTGATTTTAATCTCAATAGCATTAAATGGATTTTGAAAAATACTATGGCGGGGGCAGCAGGTGGTGTAGTGGTTAAGGTGCTGGACTCCCACATGGCTGACCACGGTTCAAGTCCCAGAGCCAGTGGCTTGAAAATCACACCAGGCACATATGCATCCATGCCTAAGATCCCAGGAGGAGAATGAAGAAGGGGCGGGGATGATTTCTCAGTTTCCTTCTTACTGTCTCTGCCTCTCTCTGGTGAGTGCATTTGCCCTATGCAAAAAAAAAAAAAAAACAAAGAAAGAAAGAAAACTACCATGGTATATACGTGAGAGTATGTATCCGATGTCAGCTCTAATTCTGCCATCAGATTAGAAGTAAGGTCTGGACATCGGTGAATTTTTTCCTTAGAGATCAGTGTTACAAAATCACAGTTCTGGAAAGAACCTGAAAAATTAATTGGGTTACTTAATTATAAAATCAACCATAGTCTATGGTTATCTTTTTCTTAAAAATTTCCTGAAAATAGAGATTCCCTAACTTGGGAAGCCAATTCCAAAGTAACCACCCAGCTCTCTCTTTCCTATGCCTCCAGCTCGTTCCTTCCCTCCCTGCCTACAGAGCAGACAAAGCGAGTGGATAGGGACCAGTCCCATAAGAGAGTGGTTAAATGGCTGTGCAGAGGAAGCTGGATTCCACATGGCTGACCAGAATTTGGGTCTCCATGCTGGCCATGTGAGCATGTGCCCAGGATCTTGGCAGGATGGAAAAATGGAAGAAAAAGATCTCAGCATACACTGGCCCCATTGGGTGGTGGGGGTGCACTCTCTTTTTCTCTCGTGCGTGTGCCTCTGCCATTAAGAAAAAAGATGGCAGATAGTCTTCTCACAGAAAGGGACAGTTACATAGGTCAGCAAAAGCACCATTATGCTTAGTTTGACACACGAAAAGTGGCATTACACTTCTGGGGATGAATTTGCTGACAGCACACTTGACTTCTCTGAGAATTTTGGATTATCTGAAGCAAACCTCTTTTCCATTGTATGGACTGCACTTAAGTTCCATGTCGATTTCATGACGTTGACAACTGCTGGGCGTGATGAGAAGCCCCTCGAAATAGATCCAGCATACCTCACATTTTAAAATCCGTGATGGAGCTAGGCAGTTATTGCAAAGGGAAAACTTCCACCAAGTTCAGACTAAACTATTTCTGCACTTGGTCAAGGTCAAGGGCTAGAGCGGACAGGTGGAAAATACAGTCACATTGGGCCTAGGGCTTTAACAGAAGAGTTGAGGGGACACAGTTCAGTCCATAGCAGAGGTACCACGCAGTGCAGCAGAAGTAGCATGCATTTTGGAGCAAGATAGCTCTAGACAATTTCTATTAGATTTTATAAAAAATATATTCTGGGGTCAGCAGGTGGCAGGGTGGTTAAGGCACTGGACTCCCACATGGCTGACCACGGTTCAAGTCCTGGACCTGGAGGCTTGCTTTTTCACTTTCCCTTTCTCTCTCTGTGTCTCGTTGGTCAGATTTTTAAATAATAATAAATAAATAAAATTAAATAAATAATTCCTTGAAAAAATTTCCTTTCTGGGGCTAGCTGATGGTGTAGTGATGAAGGTGCTGAATTCCCACATGGCTGACAATGGTTCAAGTCCTGGACTTGGTGGTCTGAAACTCACTCACATTGGGGGACCAGCAGTTAGCGTAATGGCTATGTCACTGGACTCCCCTGTAATCGACTGTGGTCGAGTCCCGGACTCAGTGGCTTAAACTCATGCCGGGTGCATGTGCGTGCCCAAGATCCCAAGAGGAGAATGGAGGAGAAGGGATGGTGGCGTGGCCATCCCCCCAGGGGTGATTTCTCGCTTTCTGTCTCTCTGTCTCTCTCTGTCTTTCCGGTGAGTGCACACACCCTATAGCAAAAAAAAAAAAAAAAAAGAAACTCACAATGGGCACATGCACATGCAGGCTCAAAATCCCAGGAGAAGAATGGAAGAGAAGAGATTGTGGTGTGGCCATCCTCCTGGGGGTGGGGTGATTTCTCACTTTCTCTATCACTGTCTGTCTCGGTTCCAGTGAGCACATGTGCCCTATGGCAAAACTTTAAAAATAAAAATTTGTTTCTAGGGACCAGCAGCTAGTGTAACGGCTACATCGCTGAATTCCCATGTAGTTGACTGCGGTTCGAGTCCCAGACCAGGTGGCTTAAAACTCACGCCAGGTGTGTGTGCGTGCGTGCCCAAGATCCCAAGAGGAAAATGGAGGAGAAGGGATTGCAGCGTGGCCTTCCCACCAAGGGGTGATTTCTTGCATTCTACCTCTCTGTCTCTCAGTCTTTCTGGCAAGTGCACACACCCTATAGTAAAAACTTATTAACATTTTAAAGAAAAATCGTTTCTTTTGAATAAAGATGCCAGGCAATCTGAGAAGAATGCCAGTGTTCTTTATACTACTTAATCCAGAATTTAGGAATTGGTTTCTCTTGTTTTGTTTTGTTATAGGGCGTATGTACTTCCCAGAGAGAGAAAAACAAAGAAAGGGGAAGAGAAATC